TTTGCCACATTCCTCACATTTGTAGGGTTTCTCTCCAGTATGAATTCTCTTATGTGTAGTAAGGCTTTCCTTTTGGTTAAAAGCTTTGCCACAGTCTTCACATTTGTAGGGCTTCTCTCCAGTATGAATTCTCTTATGTGCAGTAAGGTGTGAGAACCAGATAAACCCCTTGCCACATTCTTCACATTTGTAGGATTTCTCTCCGGTATGAATTATCTTATGTCTAGTAAGTTGTGAGACCTGGTTAAAAGGTTCTCCACATTCTTTACATTTGTAGGATTTCTTTCCAGTATAGTTTTTTTTATATGTAGACAGGGTTGAAGCCTCATTGTATACTTTGACATATCGTTTATATTTGTAGGGTCTTTCTTGAGTATGAATTATTTTATGTTGAGCTAACTGTGAAAGTGTACAAAGGGACTTATCACATTCTTTACATTTGAAAGGATTCTTTCCAGTTTGTCTTATCTTATGTCTGTTTGAATTTGAAAATTTTTGAAAGACTTTCACAAATGTGTTGCATGGAAATATTTTGCTCCGGGTAGTTGTGAAAAACTGGTTAAGTCCATTGTCACATTCTTTGCGCACCTTACATTCAAACACGCTTTGACAACATTTTCTTAAATGCAAATTTTTATGTCCACATTTTTTACATCTTCTCAGTATCACATTTTGGAAACAATTTTTTATGCCCTGCTTTGGCCAAAGGTCTCGGGCAAAATAAGAACACACAGCTGAAAGAAATAAAAATAAGAAATTACTTCACTTGCTAGACTCAGATTTATACACAAATCTTCCCTACAAAATCATGCAAAGTACATCACCAGACGGCACAGCAAAATGTTAGAGGCTCAAATTTTTTCACAGATGTATACATGTAACAAAAACATACAGAACTAACTACATTTGTAAAAAATTAAGTGTGTGCAATGCCCCAAATGAGCCTAATGCAAACTGCCGCATAGAAGAAAAGTCTCTTAAATTTACCAAACGCCTTCCCAATATAACATAATGACTTTAGAAATAAATTGCCAACTTCTGGTTTCTTTTTTAGAAGACAAGTAAAATACTGCCTTATACATCTTTATTTCTGAATGGTATGGTTTTTACAAACACTGGTTCCTGTCTCTCATTACATAAAGGTCTAAAATAAATAGTGGTATTTTTTCAAATGACAGTTTGAGTCTGCTGAGATACAAGGTAAGTTTTATAACAGCAGAAAGACTGTGGTACAACAGACAGCAGCAGAAAGACTGTGGTATCACAGACAGAAAACAATTGTAGCAAGTGATTACTGGTTAAGAAGAAACATAAACAGGCTGAGTTTGTTGCTTCACACCTGTAATCTTAGCACTTTGGGCGGCCCAGGTGGGTGGATCACCTGAGGTCAGAAGTTTAAGACCAGCCTTGGCAACATGGGAAAACCCTATCTCTACTAAAAATACAAAATTAGCTGAGCATGCAGATACATGCCTGTAACTTTAGCTATGTGTGAGGCTGAGAAAGGAGAATCACTTGAACCTGGGTTCAAGTTTTAGCTGCAGTGAGCTAAGACAATGAGAGGAAAGGAACATAAGAAAAAGAAGAAGGAGGAGGAGGAATAATAATGAGTAAACTCCTTTAACTAAAAACCAAAAAGAAAATTTTAGACAAGGCACATTCTAAGAACATGTTTGAGAGACTCCCAGAATCTCTAGCCAAGATGACCGTTTTCAGTCTATGTCAGAAAAAAAATGACATTTTAAATATTGTGACAGGTAGCTTTTTTTTAATGTCTAAATATCAATCAACTATTACAATGTATACAAAACTGGACAATATAATTTCATCAAAAATATTATATAATTTTCAGAAAGAAATCATAAATATGTACATGTTAATTTTTAAACACTGATAATAAATTAAATATTCAATGACTGAAACAGGAACACAGACTACTGTAGAAAATCAGAAAAATAAAAATGGAAATAAATATATCTAATATATTTTCTTAAATTTTGGAGGTAAAAAATAGAAAAATAAGTAACTGGAAAAGCCAAAAAGAAAAAATAATGTAAAAATGAAGAATTTCAACAAAAAAATAGAATACATACAAAGATATTTATAACGAATACATATAAGCACATTTTCAAAAATCACAGATAAGAAGAAAGTTGTGGAAGCTGCAAAATAAAAGTAATGTGTCATTTACAAACATAGTCTTATGATATAAGCAGTCAATTATCAACAAAACTTTTGCCGAGCAGAAAGAAACTGTGTGACACAGTCAAAGTCCTGGGAAGAAAAAAAAAGGTATCATGTGAGGACAATAACCATTAGCAAATCTGTCCTGCCAAATAAAAAGAAAAAACAATTCTGGGTTGGGTGTTGTGGCTCACTCCTGCAATCCCAGGACTTTGGGAGGCTGAGTCAGGCAAATCATGAGCTCAGGAGATCAAAACCAGCCTGGCAACATGGTGAAATCCCGTCTATACTAAAATTACAAAAATGAGCTGTGTGTTTTCAAAAACAATGAAAAAGCGATCAAATCTTTCATTCTCTTTTATGCCACAAAGAGGACTTTGGCTGTCACTGTAAATGTGAAGGAATATCACCAAAGGGAAAGTAAAATGTTAGAGATTTTAAAAAGACAAGACTGAAGATGTTTCTATGTGGGAAAAAAAAAAAATAGGTAAAAAAAAAAAAAAAAAAAGTCAGGCTTCCCAGAAACTATTTTCTATGAAACACAGATTTCCAAATCATGTTAAGGACTGGCTTTTTCTTACTTGGACCTCTCATCTGTGACGTTTGTTGTACTCACTTTCATTCTCACCTACCTGGAGGTTCAGCTACCATCTCATGTCTCGTCACATTCCAAGGTTCTTTTCCTTGCTCCAAACAGGTGATCAGGTCTGGCTTAGAGGCAGCAATACCTGTTTTATTAAAAATTACATGAATCTTGCTCATATTCTCCAATTACCAACTTAGTAGTGTGCTCAGTAAGAAGAATGTAATAGAACATTCTAGTAAAATAATTCTAAAATACTAATTGATAACAAAAAATTTAAAATATTTTAAAAAATATTTTAATTTTGTAAGTTCTTAATTTTACTAACTGATACTACTAAATCAAAAATTAGTATTGACAATCAGATTTTTAGATGTCAGCAACAGTATGTTATGCCACCAAATTTCTAAAATTAACACTAATCTAGAGTGAACGACACAGATCAGCTCAGGAATGTGGAAAGTTCAGGTCAAAATTAAACATCTTAAAATTATTTTTTACTAGACAAATCTTGAAGTTTTTTTCTAAACAGATCTAAAAGCAAAAATTACCAAAAATTATTCCTCAAAAAAAAAAGTAAATAAATAAAACTTAGAATGTATATTAGAAAATTGTACATTGACATGACACTCACCCAGGAAGACCAGGTTTCTGTAGTTCTCTAACATCACATTCCTATATAAATTCTGCTGTGCAGTGTTCAGGCATTGCCACTCCTCCAGAGAGAATTCTATGGCCACATCCATAAATGTCAACACTCCCTGAAAAACATACACACACATACACATTTACCAAGTGGCCATCAGTGGAATTTTTAATTTGACTCAAGGTAAAACAAGAATAAAGAGAACTTGTTCTTACTTACAGGAGTGACTGACAATATCTAATAAATAACTTTCAACACAGAAAGTTCTCTAATTCTCTAATGTATTCTCTAACTGTGAGAAAAGACAGTGGCATAAGACCCACAACATCAACATATACATATCACTTTCTAGACAATGAAGTATAAAACTGAGGGCATAAACACTAACATGTACATTTTTGAGTGCTCTATTTACATCATACAGAATGAGTTGTGTAAATTTTTCAGATGGAAAAGACATACTGAGTTGGAAAGTACTGCTCAAATTTTAATGTGTACAATAAACTGGAGATCTTGTGAATGCAGATTATAGTTTCAGAAAATCTGGAATAAAATCTGAGTTTCTGAATATCTAACAAGCTCACCACGAATGCTAATGTTTTTGGCTCAAGAAAACTATTTTGTTAAACATCCAGTAAGCGAAAGAGGCTGTGTGTTTTTCAGTTTTTATGGCCTGTAAACAGAGATGAGAGCTTTCATTTTCCAAAGACAGATACATGCAAAGAAAACCTAAGAAAGGGCAGCTGCCAGCTTAAAAGTGACTGTTTATCTACATCAGCTGCATAAAGATACTTAATAATGGAGAGAAAAATAATTAACTCTATAGAAAAAAGAAAATCTGTCACAAAGCTCATTAACCAAGTGAGTTATTAACATCAACTACATGAGGTCAAATTTCTATGATGTGCTGAGACACACAGAAGGACCCTACGTAACTTCCCTCTCAGAAGTAAATCATAATCTGAATTTAATCATAAAGAAACATCAGTTTGGCCAGGCGCAGTGGCTCCCATCTGTAATCCGAGCACTTTGGGAGGATGAGGCAGGCAAATCACAAAGTCAAGAGATCAACAGCATCCTGGTCAACATGGTGAAACACCATCTCCACTAAAAATACAAAAATCGCAAGCATTCCTATAAGCCAACAATGAACAATAAAAAAGCCAAATCATACATGAACTTCACAACTGCTACAAAAAGCTTAAAAGATCTGGAAATGCATCTAACAAGGAATGGGAAGGACTTCTTCGAGGAAAACTACAAAACACTGCTCAAGGAAGTAAAAGAGCACAAATCAAATGGAAAAACATTCCATTTTTATGGACAGAAAGAATCAGTATTAGGTCGGGCGTGGAGGCTCATGCCTGTAATCCTAACACTTTGGGAGGCTAAGGCGGGTGGATCTCCTAAGGTCAGGAGTTTGAGATCAGCCTGAGCAACATGGAAAAACCATGACCAACGTGGAGCAATCCTGTCTCTACTACAAATACAAAATTACCTGGTACGGTGGTGCATGCCTATAATCCCAGCTACTTGGGAGGCTAAGGCAGGAGAATCACTTGAATTGCTTGAACCCAGGAGGCGGAGGTTGCAGAGCTGAGATCATGCCACTGCATTCCAGCCTGAACAACAAGAGAAAACACTGTCTCAAAAAAAGAGAAAAAAAAGAAGAAGAAAGAAAGAATCAACATAACAAATTAAAACATAATAAAAGCAGTCATACTGCACAAAGTATGGATTCAATGCTATTTTCATAAAATCACTACTGACGAATTCTTCACAGAATTAAAAAAAAGAAACTACTTTAAAGTTTACATGTAACCAAAAAAGAGCCTGTATAGCCAAGACAATCCTAAGCAAAAAGAACAAAGATGAAAGCATCACTCTACCTGACTTCAAGCTATACTACAAGGCTACAGTAACCAAAACAGCATGGTACTGGTACAAAAACAAACATACAGACCAATAAAACAAAAAAGAGACCTCAGAAATAACACTACACATCTATAACCAACTGATATTCAACAAACTGGACAAAAACAAGCAATGGAGAAAGAATTTTCCATTCAATAAATAGTGCTGAGGAAACTGACTAGCCATATGCAGTAAAACTGGATCTCTTCCTTACATCTTCTACAAAAATGTACTCAAGATGAATTAAAGTCTTAAATGTAAAACCCAAAACCATAAAAACCCTAAAAGAAAACCTAGTAGGCCTGATGTGGTGGCTAACACTTGTAATCCCAGCACTTTAAGAGGTGGAGGTGGGCAAATCGCTTGAGGTCGGGAATTTGTGGCCAGCCTTACCAACATGGAGAAACCCTGTCCCTACTAAAAATACAAAAAATTAGCCAGGCATGGTGGAGCATGCCTGTAATCCCAACTACTTGGGAGGCTGAGGCAGGAGAATTGTTTGAACCCAAAAGGCAGAGGTCGCAGTGAGCCAAGATCACATCATTGCACTCCAGCCTGCGCAACAAGAGCGAAACTCCATCTCAAAAAAAGGAAAAAAAAAAAAGAAAAAGAAAACCTAGGAAATACTATTTAGGACATAGGCATGCGCAAAGACTTTATGACAAAAACACCAAAAGCAATTGCAACAAAAGCCAAAATTGACAAATAGGATCTAGTTAAACTAAAGAGCTTCTGCACAGAAAAAGAAACTATCATCAGAGTGAACAGGCAACCTACACAATGGGAGAAAGTTTTTGCAATATATCCAACAGACAAAGGTCTAATATTCAGAATTTACACGAAACATAAAAAAAAAATTACAAGAAAAAGACAATCTCATCAAAAAATAGGCAAAAGATGAACAGACACTTCTCAGAAGACATTTATGCAGCCAACAAACATACCACTCAGAATGGTGATTATTAAAAAGTCAGAAACAATAGATGCTGGTGAGGCTGTGGAGAAACAGGAATGCTTTTACACTGTTGGTGAAAATGTATATTAGTTCAATCATCATCGAGAACAGTGTGGTGATTCATCAAGAATCTAGAACTAGAAATATTCACCCAGCAATCCCATTACTGGGAATATACTCAAAGCCATATACATCATTCTACTATAAAGACACATGCACACTTACGTAATAGTTTATTGCAGCACTATTTACAATAGCAAACAAATGAAACCAACCCAAATGCCTATCAATAACAGACTGGATAAATAAAATGTGGTACATATACACCACATACCATGCAGCCATAAAAACAAATAAGATCGTGTCCTTTGCAGGAACATGGATTAAGCTGGAAGTCATCATCCACAGCAAATTAACACAGTGATAGAAAACCAAAAATCACATGTTCTCACTTGTAAGTGGGAGCTGAACAATGAGAACACATGGACACAGGGAGGGGAACACCACACACTAGGGCCTGTTTTGAAGTGAGGAGAAAAAGGAAGGTACCTGGAGGATGGGTCAATATGTACAGCAAACCACCATGGCACACATATATGTATGTAATAAACCTGCACATGCTGCACATGTATCCTGGAACTTAAAAATAAGTATTCAATATTTCATCATTGCCGGGCAGGGTGGCTCACACCTGTCATCCCAGGACTTTGGGAGACTGAGGCAGACAAAAGTTCGAGATTAGCCTGACCAACATGGAGAAACCCTGTCTCTAGTAAAACTACAAAAAACTAGCTGAGTGTGGTAGCCTGTAATCCCAGCTACTTGGGAGGCTGAGGCAGCAGAATAGCTTGAATCCCAGAGTCGAAGGTTGCAGTGAGCTGAAATCGTACTATTGCACTCCAGCCTGGGCAACAAGAGCAAAACTCCGTCTAAAAAAAAAAAATCATTATTAAGAAAGCCATTTTTTTCTCTTTCTCCTTCTTCTCTAGGATTTCTTCTCAGATAAGATTATCTGGACAAATTACACCTACATCTTGAGAATATGCCTTGAAAAGTGTCAGTACCACGTTTACCTGCTAACACCACATCCACAGGCAGAACAACCAAAACAGAAAAACTCCACCCATTTCTATACTTGTAACAGAAGAGATTCAGGAAAAATAAGCTGCTCCACAGACAACAAAATATAAGTTTATTTTTTCCTGTCCTCAGGCGCCCTCCCCTGCCAGTAATTTCTGCTACAATAATGAAAATATGAGCCAGACTGCCCTGTCCCTATGAAACCCAAAGAAAAGAGGCTCTAGGACCACCCTTTTAAGTGCACAGGTGAAACTTAACTCTCACAAATGTATCTTGAACCCCCTATACTTGATTCTGGCCGCAACTTAGAGTCACATGAGACAGTTAATTAAAACAGCATGAATGCTTCCACCCAGAACATTCATCAGAACCTGTGACAGGAAGAGCACCAGGAAAGAGATTTCTGCAAATTAGCCACGTGATTCTAAATAGCAACCTGGGCTTATAACCACTTAACTAAACACTGCCTCTCAAGCTTTAATGAGCTTATAAATGATTCGGTAATGTTGGTCCCACTCGATGTGGTGTGATTCTACAGGTTTGCAGAGGGTCCATGAATGGGTGTTGAAGAAGTCCCCTGTCAATGCTGATGTTGCTCCCCCGGGCTCATTATTAGCATTACTTAGAGAAAGCAGGCACAGCACAGTCTCCTGCATTTGGCACTCTTGTGACAACACAAATACTTCTGGCACAAATTAAGATAACAAATCTCCATCTTAAATTATCATAATCTTTGCTGGCTTTTTAAAGTTTACAGAGAAAACAGACAGCAACAGTATCTAAGTCTGCATTTATTTATTCATTATTTAGACAGAGTCTCGCTCTATTACCCAAGCTGGAGTGCAATGGAGAGATCTGTGCTTACTGCAACTTCTGCTTTTCAGGTTCAAGTGATTCTCCAGCCTCAGCCGCCCAAGTAGCTGGGACTATAGGTGTGTGCCACCACACCTGGCTAATTTTTTTTTGTTGTTGTATTTTTAATAGAGATGGGATTTCACCATGTTGGTCAGGGTGGTCTCAAACTCTTAACCTCAAATGGTCAGCCCTCCTCAGCCTCCCAAAGCATTGGGATTACTAGTATAAACCACCCCAATGGGCCATAAATCTGAATTTAGAAAACATGTACACCCGTAGTAATAAAATGTTTATTAAGCAGGTACTATGTG